CTTTTGAAGGAATCGCCATACTGCTTTCCACAATGGTTGTACCATTTTACAGTCCCACCAGCAGTGTATGAGAGTCCCAATCTCTCCACAACCTTACCAGCATTTGTTATTTTCTGTCTTGTTGAACTTTGCTACTAGTTGGAATTAGCCTTTTTTTTTCAAGATCCTACTGCCTTTTTAGTAGGAAAAGATATTTAGAGCTCACAGTTTAGTTACTAGAGCTTGTCATTATTTCTTGGCCTTTTTATTGTGTAGAACTAAGAAATACCTATTTTTTAAGTGAAAACGCATCTCTAATTTATACTGACCTTTTCCATTCAAAATATAGGAGTACAGCATTTTTTTTTTAACCTTAAAACCAAAGTTAATTTTATTTTTTATTTGTTTTGGGATTACAGCATTTTTTACTTAACTTTTTTGATTTTATCTTGGTTCCTAAAGATATTAACATTACTTATTTTATCTTACTACATATAGTGTTTTTTTTAATACATGTATATAATGTGTATTTTATATAAATAAAATGATGCCAGTAGTAATGATACGATGCAGAAAAGAGTTTAAGATTTCTTTGTAGTTCTTTTTGCCTTAGGCTCTATCCCACTAGGCATGTGCAATTAAATTAATATTTCATTTCACAAAGAATTCTCTTTGTTATTAAGCTATCAACTTCATAAATGGTTGTGTTTATTTGTTTCCATTTTAAGAAAGTTTTTCAACTGGATTTAATTTTGTTTTGTAATTATGTAAAGCATTTACATGGTTCCAATGTCAGAACTACAAAAGAACTTATCTCTGTATTTGCCTCCTCTCTGTTCTTTTCTGTAAGTGACCATTTCTATTAGCTGTTGGGTTTTGTGTCATTCTTTAAAACAAAAGGAAATAGATACACATATATATATGGCCCCCCAAAAGAAAAGAGAGTTTACTGTGTGCACTATTCTGTGCTTTGCTTTTTTCCACTTAGCAATGCATCCTGGAGATCACATTTTAGCAACATACAGAATTTCCCTCATTGCTTCATATAACACAGAGTACTCTTGTGTCAGTGTACATCGTTTATTTAACCATAGTTTGACATTTTTGATGTAAAGAGGTTATGTTTTGTTTTTTTTTCTTTAAGTTGTTGTTGTTGTTGTTATGTGCCGTCGAGTTGGCCCCGACTCATAGCGACCCCTCCTTGGGTTTCCGAGGCAGTATCACTACGGAAGTAGGATTGCCCATCCTTCCTTCCGAGGAGTGGCTGGTGGGTTTGAACCGCCAGCCTTCTGGTTAGCGGTCAAGTGCTTTAGCCACTATGCTACCAGAGCTCACTTGAAATTTATGGGCAATCTACTTCCGTAGTGATAACTGGCTCAGAAACCCAAGGAGGGGTCGCTATGAGTCAGACCCGACTCGACAGCAGTGAGTTTGGTTTTGGGTTTTTTTTTGTGGGAGATAAATATCTTTGTTTTTTAAAATAGTTATACTATTTTACCACCACCTTTCCTTCCTGATTTGTAAATCTTCTTTTTTCATGCTCAGTATTCATTTCTGTTTCCTCGACATGTGTTTTTATTCTTATGCAAGGATCACACTATTTTAATTGATGTGGATTATCTATGTAGCAAAAGCTTATCATAAACTAATAGCTACATCTCTGGACTAGAAGTTACTAGACTAGAATTTTTTTCTTTGTTTTTTCACTACCAAGAATGAGTTGATTAAAAATGAGAGGTATGAGTGATTATGAAAGGAAAAGCTATGAAACATTTTATAGGATGAAACACAGAAAATGATGCAAAGCCTCTTGGTTCATCTTATAATTTTGATCATCCAACCTTGACAATATAGCACATAAATAAAAGAAATTTGCATATCAGTCTTACTTATGTGCAGTTTCATTTATGAGCAGAAGTTCTAGATAGAAGATTAGAAAATAAAATGTATTAGCACATCAAAGGAATAATATACTATAACCAAAGAATTACTATTCTAAGAATAATGTAAAGGTGGTTCAGTTGTTATAAAATCTAGTCATGAAATTCATTTCACTCGTAGGTTAAGGGAACAGAATCATGATTACCTCACCAGATATTCTAAAAGCATAGGCTAAATTTCAGCATCCTTTCTTGCCTTTTTCTTTTTTGTAAGTGTAGAAAACTAAGAATAAAAATTTATTCCTCATTAATATGATGAAGGGTATGTATTGATCTAAAGCTATATCTAGGTATCCCATTAAAGTTGGGAAAGAAGTAAACATATACCACATTATTAGCTCTTCAGTGTTACAAAAATTTTAGCCAATACAAGGTATTAAAAACAAAGGAAGTATAAATACTCAAATGAAGAAATGTCATTACTGTTACTGATGATAATATGATTGTACCTAGAATACCAAGAAAATGACAATATTAAATTTTTTAATGAGACTTTAGTAATGTGGCCAATTAAATATATTCCAACCAAAAAAAGAAAAAGACAGGTAAACTTGTGATAGAATATAAAATACTGAGAAATAAAATAGCATGAATTGAATGTCAGTTACATAAAGAAAAATACAAAGCTTTATTGAATTTTTAAAACAAGATTTGAATAAATGGAAGCAGTTACTAAGTTCCTGAAACCTCAATATCATAAGCTATCAAATTTTCCCAAGTCATTAATTTAGTGACTTTCTAATGAAAATCTGTTGGATTGTTTCAAAAAGAAGAATAGTAATAGAGGATTTACATTATCAAATGCAAAAACATTTCCTAACAGTACGGTTAAAGTAGTTAGTACATGCCTAGGAACACAGCAGGATTAGTGGAACAAAATAGCCAAGTCCAGAAAAAGACAAATTTCATGTGGGTAATTAATATATTACAAAGGTATCATTTCAAATCATTGGGGAGAAAATGGATTATTTAGAGGACTAACCATAAATAAAGATTAAATTTGTATCATATTTTCATTTTATTAATTCCATCATTACTTAGATATTTAAATATAAAACAGACAAATAACAAAGAAAGCATAAAGGTCAATGGAAAGAAATCTAGATAAATATTTTAATTGTATTAAGGTAGGGAAGACCTGTGTAAACATAGCAGGAATTATAAAGGAAGGGATTGGTAGATATGAGTATATGGGAGTTAAAGACATTACAAATTAGGAAATGTATTTTAAACAGCAGAGGAAAATTTAATATCCTTGATTACAAAGAGAGCCCTTGCAATTTGTGGAGGAAAGGGATAAATAAGTCACTTTCACTTTCTACCTCCATTCCAGTGATGGGAAAAGAGGCAAAGTGCAGGACAAGCAGCTTATAAAAGCAGAAATATAATTGTCCAATAAATACGGAAATAAGTTCAAGAACACCATTAATACATGAAATATATATTAAAAGTTATTTTTATCTAGCATATTGTCATTTTTAAAAAAAATTACTCTGTTGATGAGATCATCAAAAAATCCATACTTAATACTAGTGGATGTGATACTAAAATGTGATTATCTTTAAGAGCAATGGATACCAGCATATTAAAGTAGGCGTTTCATTGATACAATTCTAGGAATTTATCCTAAAGAATAAACAAATATGAAAAATGTGTATGTTAAAGTATTCATTTCAGGGTTAGTTATGATAACAAAATATTGGAAACAAATGACCATTTTAAGGAGTTATTTGAAGCATTTGTGGTTTATTCATATAATGGCTTGTAACATAGCTATTAAAAACTACAATGCGAACAGGGCACTGTGTGAGTGTGTGGACTGTATTTCTTGCCTTGCATAAGGCATGATTTAGTCCCACGAGGGTTCTAGGGTATGGGCACTAAGCTCTGCCTCTGTCACTCTGGCAGAATGACTTTCCTACAGCAGAGGACCAAGCTGCGGCTGAGCAAGCTCTACAGGAAATGCGGGACCTCCTTACGAACTTGCAGCAGGAGATCACCAGAGCCTGTGAAGACAAGCGGAGGCAGGATGAAGAGGAGGCTCAGGTAAAACAGCGAGAGTCACAGGCCCAGCAGAGACCAGAGGCCCAAAAAGAGTCCCCAGCTCCCAGGCATAGCCCAGGAGAGAAAAAGAATGAAGGTGAGTTTTCATGTAGTGTGGATATGGCCCTTTAAATAAGTATGCAGTTTAGACTGTGAGAAGAAACAAGAATGCATTTTGAGTATTGTGTTAAGCCATAAGACAGTTAACCAACCAGGACCTTTGCACAATACATTATATTCAGTTTTGGTTGATATGGAGCCTGACTTCAGATTCCAACACTTTTTATGAGGACCTGAAATTCTATATAATTATAATAGGATGTGTTGTTCCAAGTATTGCTGCTGCTGAATATTATAAATAAATATGTACATTTATTTAGTACATAGGAGAGTCAGTATAGCACGCACATACACACCCACTGCCACTGAGTTGATTCTGACTCATAGTGACCATATAGGACAGAGTAGAACTCCCCCAAAGGATTTCCAAGGTTATAAATGTTAACAGAAGCAAACTGCCTCCTCTTTCTTCTCCAGAATGGCTGATAGGTTCGAATCACTGACCTTGCGGTTAGCAACTGATTGCCTTAACCACTGAGCTCAGCCACCAGAGCTTTTCTAGTGTAGCATAGTGGCTAAGCATGCTGGCTCTGAAGCCAGGATCAGTGGGAATCTAGTTCTTTTGCTTACTAGCTATGTGATCTTGAACTAATTACTTAACCTTCCTGTGCCTATTATCTATAAAATGAAGATAATAATAGTATCTGCTCAGGGTTACTGTGACAATTGAAGTGGTTAATACCTGTGTAAAGTGAGTAGGACAATATATGGCCCATATTAAGTGTTCACTAAATAGTAAAGCAAGCCCACTGCCATCAAGTCAGTTCTGGCTCGTGGTAAGCCTATGGAGTATAATTACCCTATAGAGTTTCCAAGGCTGCAAGTCTTTACAGAAGCAGACTACCTCATCCTTCTGGAGAGTAGCAAGTGGGTTCAAACCACCAATCTTTTGGTTAACAGCCAAATACTTTAACCACAGTGCCCCCAGAGCTCCTTTCAATAAATACTAGTTGTTATTAAAGCCTCTCTTTTATTCTTCAGACCTCCAGGTGAAGGTACAAGACAGTACCATGCAGTGGTACCAGCAGCTGCAGGATGCTTCCAGTCAGTGTGTGTTGGCTTTTGAGGGACTGACCAGCAGTAAGGACAGTCAGGTAGGGAAGAGGTGTACATTGGGAATTCTCTGAGTCAGAGTACTCCTCATGGCCTCATATCCCAAAGCAATGTAGCTGGCATGTCACATTCCCTTATCCTAAGTTGCATCTGCTGATCTCTTCAAAACACTTATCTGCCTTCTCACTGTTCTCTTCTGGCAGACCAAAAAGATAAAGATGGACCTCCAGAAGGCTGCCACCATCCCAGTGAGCCAAATCTCCACCATTGCAGGTTGGTCAGAAGAATTAAGAACATGGCTGTTTGTGTCTGTAAGCTTCCTATAAACAGTATGTTTGAACAAATGTTAATAATTAGAACAGATACGTAATATATCTGTGCATCCTATTTCACACTCCTTTGTTTCCTCTACAGCACAGAGTAATAATCAATACATGTACATTGAGTCATTTTTAATAAGCTGTATATAAATAGTATTTAGGATGGCTTTTAACTTTAAAGTTCAGAGTTCCTGTTGCAAACATAACTGAGGGAACCTGGGATGTGACTTGTATTCTTTGCTTTTGTCTTACATTAGCTTTTCCAAACTTGAAGCTTGCCTTGTTAATACTTGAAGATGGCTTTTGTCTCAGAAGACTGAGATTTAGAGAGTAAAAACCAGAGGGAAAGAGCCTTCTCTCTCTTCTTTAGAACCAGAGGTTTATTTTTTGAAGCTCCAGACCAAGAAGGCATGCTGCCAAGTGGCTAGGGGAGCGTGTACAACTAGAAAGCTTCTCTGACTTATGGGTCCTGATGCTCCCATTGAACTTGGCATTTGTTGCCTAAAAAGTATAGGAAAATTGCAGTTCCTGCCTTTAAATCTTACATGGCAAAACTTAACATATCACTTTGCTGCCTGACATTCTTTCTGGAGCAGGGCAAGTTATAAATAAATAAACACGTATCACTTTCTGGAATATGAAGTGCGTTCCCCTTGGTAACAGCAGCAAAGGGAAAGAGTGATAGCCATTCCAAACCTTTGCTGCTCCTCAAGCTTATCCTGGACCCTTTATAGAGCAGTTAGACGCTATAGGGTTGCTATGAGTCAGAACTGACTTGATGGCAGTGGGCTTGTTTTGGTATTTATCCTTATGCTGGATCCCCTGGTTGACATCAAACAACCTTGCCTCCTTTATCAAGAAAATCGAGACTTCAAGTGTGAGCTCCTCAAATGCCTGGCCCTTCCACCTACACACACCTGTATTTTCACTCTGTCTTTACCTCCTCTTTCAACAAATGAAGTATCCTTCCTGCTAATGCTTACCCTTCTGCCTCTGCCTTTGATCTAATCCCCTCCCATCTCTGTCAAGACTTTGCTTCATCATTTATCACCTTTTTCTCCTATGTACTGCAATTATTGTCTTTCACAGGCTCCTTTCCCTCAGCTTTTGAACATGTTTGAGTCACTCATATCCTAAAATACTTTTCTCTTGATTTTATATCTTCTGGTTATTTTCTAATCTGTCTCACATTTGCATTTGGTACTGTTGATGATTCCCTTCTTTTGAAACTCTATTTCTTTGGTTTCCATGGCAGCATTACTTTCCAGGTTCTCCTCCTACCTCTCTGACTCTTTCTTTTTCATGGGTTCTTCAGTCCTTACTCACACTTAATTGTGGGGACTCACTCTTACACCACAGTTCTTTCATTCTATACCAAATGTTGGCATCAAACAGTACCTGTATGTATATGACTCTCAGATCTACCTCTGGTTCATTCCTCTTCCCTGAGCTAAAGATTCTTTAGCTCCAGCTATCTCAAAGGCATCTCTGCCTAGATGTCTCTCAGATACCTCAAGTTTAATGTGTTCAAATATGAATTTATCATCTTCCTTATCTTATGCCTAGGAGCTCTGGTGGCTTAGTGCCTAAGGCATTTGACTGTTAACCAGAAGGCTGGCAGTTCAAACCCACCAGCCACTCTTTGGAAGGAAGATTGAGCAATCTACTCCCATAGTGATACTGCCTCGGAAACCCAAGCAGGGGTTGCTATGAGTCACATCCAACTCGACAGCAATGAGTGAAACCTAGTAGTATCCCCGTGACTGTTTCCTGTGTTTCATTCTCCACATCTAATTAGTCTCCAGTTTTGTTTTACACTTACAGATAGATAGATAGATAGATAGATAGATAGATATAGATAGATATTTAATATAACCCTTTGTCTCCATCGTTATTGTAAGTTGTTTGAGACCTTACAATCCAGTCAGACATGGAGCATGCTCTAGGGTTAGTGCTCAGTGAATGTTGAATAAATGAAAGAAAAAGATGACCTTTTTCCTGTCTCTTTAAGAAAGATGGATGTCTGTGATCTTCAGCCTATATGACTATAAGACCAGAAGAAATAGATGGTACCTGGCTACCACTGTCAACCACTTGGAGGGGGATCTATGTAGGAGATCCTGGATAGAGTGGGAGAACAATGTGGAACAAAACTCAAAATCATTGAAAAAAAAGGGACAAGGTTTGCTGGTCTGATAGAGCCTGGTGGAACCCCTGAAACTATGGCCCCTAGCTGCCCTTCCGGTCTGGAATTGAACCCACTTCTGTGGCTTCCAGCCAAACAAAAGACAACATATGAGCTGAACATTTACATTAGGTAGTACACTTTTTGGAGAGATCAATCATGAGGGAATAAAAGGGCTGTGTGTACCCACAGGAGACTGCTCGGGGGGCAGGAGTGCATGGGAGGGAAGGACACCGAGAAGAGGTAACTATGGGGAGGAAGTGGGAAGGAAGCTGTTGCAGCGTGCAAAATTGCAGTCAATGTCATGAGACAAAAGTGTATGTGAACTGCTGTGTGGAAAATGAATTTGCTCTGTAAACTTTCACCCAAATTCACAATAAAAATTTAAAGAAAAAAAAGAAAGATGGATGTCCACAGCAAATAGATTTAGAGGAGAATTTAAATAAGGATGTGTCACTGGTGTGGCAGATGGGAAGTGGGAGGCTATTTCATGCTTATGGTTGGGCGCTGACTTTCCCAACTGGAGAGGACACAGCTAATTTTCTTTCTTTCTTTTTTTTTTTTAATTGTGATGTGGGTAAAAGTTTACAGAGCAAATTCATTTTCCATACAGCATTTCATACACATTTTGTTTCATGATATTGACTGCAATTCCCCACAATATAACAGCTCTCTTCCCACTTCCTCCCCATAGTTACCTCTTCCCTGTGTCCTTCCCTCCCATGTACTCCTGCCCCCTGAACTATCTCCCTGTACAAACACTGCCCTTCTGTTCTCCCACAATTGATGAAGGAGTGTATCTACCTTATGTAAATGTCCACCCCATGCGCCTATCTATTATTTTGTTGGAAGCTACAGGAGTAAGTTCAGTTCCAGGCCTGAAGGGTAACTAGGGGCCATAGTCTCAGAGGTCTCACCAGGCTCTGTCAGACCAGCAAACCTGGTCTTTTTTTCATGATTTTGAGTTTTGTTCCACATTGTTCTCCCACTCACTCCAGGATCTTCTGCACCAATCCCCCTCCAAGTGATTGACCGTAGTAGCTGGGCACCAGCTAGTTCTTCTGGTCTCATGGTTATGTAGGCTGTGGATCTCATGCTCTCCCAGTCCCTTGGACTAATTGTTTCCATGCATCTTTGCTTTTCTTCATCCTTCTTTGCTCTGGATGAGGAGAGACCCATCCTTGCATCTAGATGGCCACTTGCAAGTTTTTAAGACCGCAGTTACTACTTACCAAAGTAGGATGTAGAACAATATTTTTGTGTAGTATGTTATGCCAATTGAGCTTGATATCCCCTGTGACTATGGGCCCACAGGTCCAACTACTCGCTCTCTTGGCTGTGACCAAGAAGCCACCACAACTTTGTCCCTTATCAGCTCTACTGTACACCTGAACATTCTTACAGCACATACAAATACACATGCAGAAACATTGTCAGCTAACCCTATACATGGTCATTGGCACATAGAGAGGGTATTTCTGAAACTTGTAAGATTTTCTTGAAGTATTGAGGCATTTGACAGGATGTTTTTAAATTGAAGATACTGTATTAATTGAAACTTTGCTTGTGGGTAATGGAAATTAATTCAGGTCTGCTAATGTTTAAAAAAAAAAAGATTGACCCTGAAGATGAAGAGGTGCTTGATAGCAGCCAATGGCATTACAGGTTTAGGTCTCAGAAGCTAGAAATTTAGGTTACTGCCCCATTGTCCATGAGTTTATGTGTCACAGGGCCAGCCACTTCAAGGAATTGACTCTCAGTCAGTTACCTGATAGGCTCAGCTTGATTACTTCTAATGTAACTGTAGCCAGTGTGGGGATGGGACACACAGGATCTTGTAATACAAATAGAGCTGTTAGGAATGCATTCCTATGACTGAGGATGGAGAAAGACAGGTAGAGGTAGAGAAAGCATTGTGAGGTAGAAGATCCTTTAGAAGGTTTCTCCTAGAGAGGTACATTACTCCTATAGGAATATTAACCACAGCCTTTGGGATCTGTACACACAACACCTATTTCTATATTATTTATCTCTTTGTTTTCTGTATTAGTTTCAGGGTTGGTTCATTCCCAAATAGGTTGTAAACTCTTTAGAATAGTATGACTAACGTTCTTTTGCATCTCCTACAGCATATATTTGATTGTCATATTTTTCTATGTTTATATTTTGTTTTTATGCTCTGAACTTTAGTAAGGCTGGATAGCTGAATTTAAATAGATGCCTTGTTATTACAGTGGTGAAAAGGATCTGCAGCTGTATGTTTTGTGGCTGTAACTTGGTCTCTGTTATTGCCAGGCTCGAAGCTGAAGGAGATCTTTGACAAAATCCATAGCCTGCTCTCTGGAAAGCCTGTTCAATCTGCTGGACGCTCTGTGTCTGTCACACTCAACCCACAGGGACTGGACTTTGTCCAGTACAAACTGGCAGAGAAATTTGTGGTGAGAGACCTTGTTGCCAGAGGCATAGGAAGAGGAGGTTGGTGTAAAATATTTAAAGCTTTCTCAGATATTGACTTAAAATTGTACCTATCTCTGTTTACAGAAACAAGGAGAAGAGGAGGTGGCCTCCCATCATGAAGCAGCATTCCCCATTGCAGTTGTGGCGTCTGGGATCTGGGAACTCCACCCCAAAGTAGGGGACCTCATTCTTGCTCATCTACATAAGAAGTGTCCTTACTCAGTTCCTTTCTATCCACCTTTCAAAGAGGGAATGCCTTTGAAAGACTATCAGAGGTAGAGTTTTTCTCCTTACTCACTATCCCTAGTGTGATAGGTGAAATATAAATAGAATTGGGATTCTTTTTCCCTTCTTCCCACAGCTTCTCTTTTGTACCTTTAATTTTCTCTCAGAGAACACATTTTTTTGTGCGTGCAGACTGGACAGCTTTTGGAATATGTGGGTTGAGGTACAAATAATATAGTTTGGAGGGCAGTGTTAGAATTCTTCTCTTCCATGCAGGAGACCCAGGCTTGACGCCTGGACAGCGCACCTCAAGCATAGCCACCATATGTCTCTCAGAGGAGGCTTGCCTGTTGCTATGATGGTGAACGGGAGCGGTCTTCAGCCGAGCATCGAGACTAAGATAGACTAGAAAAAATGGCCTGGTGATCTAATGCTGAAAAATCAGTCATTGAAAACCCTGTGCATCATGTAGTCCAGTCACATTTCACGTGGGGTCATCGTGAGTCAGGAGCCAACTTGACAGCAGCTAACAACAATCAGTATAGTGTGGAAGAAAGAATACTCGATCTACAGTCTACGGGTCTTCAAATTTTATCCCTGCTTTGTCATGTAAGGGAGCTCTGGTGGCGTAGTGCCTAAGGCATTTGACTGCTAACCAGAAGGCTGGCGGTTCAAATCCACCAGCTGTTCCTCGGAAGGAAGATTGGGTAATTTACTTCCATAGTGATCCCAACTCAGAAACCCAAGGAGGGGTCACTATGAGTCGGATCCGACTTGATGGCAGTGAGTTTTTGTCGTTTAATAGCGTTGCAAAAATGGGTAAATCATTTAACCTCTTTGAGCATAATTTTCTGTATTTATACATGAGGGTAATGGTATCCATTGCCCCTGTGATTTTACCTTACAGGGCTTATATGCATTCCTAATTAAATAATAGGAGCCCTGGTGGCACAGTGGTTAAGCACTTGGCCGTTAAACAAAAGGTCTGCAGTTCCAACCCACCATCTCCTCTAGGAGAGACAGATAAGACAGTCTGCTTCCATAAAGACGACAGCCTTTTAAGCCCTATGGAGAAGTCCTACTCTGTCCTATAGGGTTACTGAATCAGAATCGACTAAAGAGTAATGGGAAAAATTTAGATAATGAGTATGACTGCTATGTAAACAAAGTATTCTACAAATGTAATGATATGTAACAATGTGCTAATAATAATGCTAAAAGTAATAATATGTTGTTACTTTTAGCCATAAAAAGTAATCTTTAATTTGTTACCTTTACTTTGGCTTTGTCACATAGAATTTTTTTTTTTTCCCACACAGGATGCTTGGCTACCAAGTAAAAGATTCCAAAGTGGAGCAGCAGGATAACTTTCTAAAACGCATGTCTGGGATGATCCGTCTCTATGCTGCCATCATCCAGCTCCGGTGGCCATATGGGAACCGACAAGAGGTAGATAGAAAAGACTTATTATCAGTAGTGAGAGGTTGGACCAGAGTCCTTTCTTAGTGTGCTTCATCTGCAGGAACAATTTACCTTCTTTCAGAGAGGGCAGTATAATTACATGATAAAGGCAGTATGGTATTGCTACACTGCAGGTGTACATTATAGAAGCTGATGTTCATTATTAGGAAACGTCTTTGGATCATCAGAGTCATTTGTTTAAGGGTTTGTACCTTCTACAAAGATCTGGATTCATAACAGAGTCTTCCAGAGGAGAATCTGTTAGAGATTAATCATTAAGGTTAGAAGAAGAGTGAGCAAGAACCTGGCATATTAGAGCTAGATGGAACTTAGAGGCCATTTAGTTCATGTACTTTTACTTCACTTCACAAGTGGAGGCTTAGAAAACTGTGGTGATATACAGATGTAAATGGCACAGCTGTGACTGAGGTTCAGGGTTTTGACCTGGCAGCCCAGTTCTTAAGGAATTCTAGTTAGAGGGATTGAGAAGTTAATGGACTTGGAAACCTAAAGAGAAAGGAATATACATTGATTGAATGCAGAAAGTTTTTATTGTGTACCTATTATAGCCCAGGTTCTATGCTAATGTACCAAAAATTATAAATAAAATGTATGTAAGGGTAACTGGTGGCTTATGAAGGAGCTCTGGTGATGCAGTGGTTAAAGCTAACCAAAAGGTTAGTGGTTCAAACCCACTAGCTATTCCATGGGACAAAGATGAGGCAGTCTGCTTCCGTAAAGATTTATATCCTTGGAAACCCTATGGGGCAGTTCTGCTTTATTCTATAGGGCCACTATAAGTTGGAATCTACTCAGTAGCAGTTGGTTTGGTTGTTAGTGGCCTGTGAACGCCTGAACTGACACATGAGTATTAAGGATATCCTGTAAAGAATGTGGGGACCAGTGTATTTGAAAGCAGATTTCAATTAGCTTGTGTTAATTTTGCCTTTGGCAGGTATTTGGGTTAGGTGATCTAGAGTCCATGTCCACTTGGTAATGGCTAGATGATGACATAGAGAGTTTTATTTATTTATTTTTATTTTATTTTATTTTTAAATTTTATTTTGATTTGGGTGAAGATTTACAGAGCAAATTCACTTTCCATACAGCAGTTCACATTACTTTGTCTCATGTCATTGACCACAGTTTACCACAATGCAACAGCTCCCCTCCCTCTCCCTCCCCATAGTTACCACTTCCCAGTGTCTATC